TAACATTATAAATAAATATAATATTAACATTACATTACATTTAATGAAAATAAATGCATAAATAAACTACATGGCGTAGAAATTCCGTCTACTGAAGGAGCGCTTTAGCAAATGGATTTACGAACTCAGTTATCTAACAAGATTTACTCATAATGAGAGCACATAACTAGAGATAACTTATAATAAAAATCTAGATAGGTAGAAAAAAAAATTAATACATAAAATAAATTAAATAAAATTTGCTAGAACATGACAGAATGAATGAGATGCAAAAAATGTTGATAGTAGAATTCTGTTCAGTTTTTCATAAAATAAACAATACAAAAAGAATAAAACTGACCTTACACAAAAAGAATAATTAATTGAAAGAAGTAACATGGTCAATTAGATCACTAAAACATAAATGGATTAATAATATAAAAAATTCTGTTTTCGACACGAATTAAATTTTCCCTTTCGTTTAAACGTGGATTTTACCCTGATTCACGGTTTTTTGGAAAATTTTATCTGATCGAATCCTATCTTACCAAGCATATTATTCAAAAGCTTTTTCCTTTTATAGGGGATTTTTTTTCAAATCCATCTTTCAATAAGTTTAATAAAATACAATGTAAATAAAATGTACCTAGCTTCAATAATAATAGTATTATTGGTAGATTTCCACTTGGAATATGCTAGGTGAACCTTTAAATTGGTCGTTTTCGATCATTTCTCGGTACTTCTATACATGTTAGGCCAAAATGATCGGAAACTACCAAACCGCCTTATTATTATTATTTACATACTATCAAGACTTTATTGATAGTTAATAAATTTTTTTATTGACATTATTTCGTTTGTTTACATTTGTACATACATCTAATCTTCTTTTTCTTTCTAATTCTTTTTAATTTTGAAACTAAAAATTTAATAGAAAGTTTAATTTTTTTCCTACAAAGAATATCTAATTTCCACCGCCCAAACAGTTTAATGACATTGAACAACTTCGTCTAATTTTCATAATTTTTTGTAGTACGAGAAACTGTTTGAACACCAAACATACTTTAAGAAAACATATCCTTTTTCTAAGACATTTCTCCTGAATAAGAGCTTCATCCATCACGGAACTACGCTTCTAGTTCAGCCAGACTTACGACCATCATGAATATTATCTCATCTTTGGAGATTTATGTGTCCCAAAAAAATGAACGTGTTTCATTTGTATAATCTGAAGTTAAAAAATAACGTCTAAGATTTATTTCCACGCTGACAATGCCAGTGTTAATGTTGATTATGTAAAGATTTCTGCGGTCGCTTGGCCTTCAGCGAAATCAGCCATTGAAACGAACTTGGTTAAGTGACGTAAGTACTTTTAAGTTCATTGTTTGTGTCAATTTTACGTTTGTAACCCATCGGCCGTTTTCTCTACAGTGAAAATTTATCCACAATTTATAAATTCTTTCAAACTCTCTCACTCTCTCTCTCTCTCTCTCTCTCTCTCTCTCTCTCGTAATTATTTAGTATGATTAATTTGTACGATAAATTGATTACCATTCATTTTCTAATCCTTCTAGCCTGTATCCATCATTTATCAGTTGACCTGTCGTCCAACTATTATCCATTCATCGTTTCCATCTACCGATTCATTCATAAGCGTGTCGGGTGTCACTTCATTGTTTCCCCTCTTCACCTATCCAATCATTATGTCATTCCATCAGTTTCCATTAAATATCCATCCATGCACCCATATTTTATGCTTTACTTACATCCATCTCCTATGTATGTCAAATTTGTTTAGTTGAATATAGTATATGTACATGAATATTTTTATATGTATATACAATCTATTTATAAACCATTTTTTGCATCCAATATGTTTTAATTAATGCATATAACAGCCAACATGTAACATGACATACGTGCTTAATTTTACGACAGTTTTATAATTAATTACTCTAACATTAAGATAGCAGTAAGTTCTAGTGGTTCCAGTGGATTAAATTGCAATTTCCCTGTATGATCGGGTGTAAGACAAGGTCATTTTCTAAGATCAATATTTCTTGCCATCTGTCTTAATGATCAATGTGATGAAATGGTGTGATAATTAGTGAATAAATATTCTACCATGTGCAATGTTTGTATCATAAATGATTTTTGAGGTTAAGGGAATTTGAAAATTATTTTGATTAATTTTAAAACATAATGTCTTAAATAGACAATATTGCTATATATAAATNTGTTTTGGGTGTCTTTGTCGGTATAATACAATCAATAGTAAGATTTTAAAAAAATCATAAAAAATAACCAATATTTTAATAACGATTGCAATATTGTCTATTTAAGGCATTATGTTTTAAAATTAACCAATATATATATATATATATATATATATTTCAACTTCCCCCTCTTCACCTATTTTAAATATAAAAGTTAGTGCTCCTTAAAACTGGAAAATTAATCTGTTGCTTCAGTTCTGTTGATCATGCTTCAAGAGATTATCCAACATGTTAAAGTCAACTAAAAAGTCTGTTATCCAAACTCTCATTCGTAATTCTATTCGAGATACTTCATTTTTAAGGTTACTCCAACCTTCCAAAATTTTATTCCATAAAGTCCACATATCTCTTAAAATTCTAATCCTACTGTAAATTTGATAACATTAATGGAAGGAGCATTAAATGTTCTATGAGATCCATTTGTTTTTAACTTTTACAAGTTTTAAATTAACAAATTACATGTGTTGACGTTGGTGTCAGTAGGTGTTTGAATAGATCTTTCGTTAAGTTCTTGTCGTTTTAATCTTGTATGCGGGTTCGATGTAAGTCTGCTATCTAAGTAAAGCCCAAGGTAGCGTACTTGGTTCGATGGTGGTATTATCTTGAAGTTAATGTGTACTGGTGGGCAGGTTTGACTGTAAACGAAGCTTGTTGGCTTTTATGCTTGATCAACCTCGATCATTATCGAGTGCACCAGATAATGAAGTTCAGATGTTTGTGGATTGATTTTGTGGCTAGGATAGAATTGGAGTGTGTTCATAAGATCGCGGTGTCGTCACATTAAATTATATTTCTGTATTGTTTAGTATTGTGAGCATTTTGAACATTTAATTTTTTCAACTTTTTGTTTTTTCTCGTTTTCAGTTTTGTACCAAAGAATCTTGTTGAACACTCTGTACTAGTTTTATTGTTTTTTAGCAGAACTTAAACTTAAAGCATGAGCATTAGAAACTCGTAAAAGTACATATTCGAAGTGATTTTGTATGTTGTTCAAGTTACAATAAAAAATTATCTCATAGGGATTTTAATGTTCTTTCCACTGTTGTAATGAAATTTACAGTACAATTCACATTTCAGCAGATACGGAGGACGTTATGGAATAACGTAGTGAAAAGTTGAAGAATTCTTAAAACTGAAATATCTCGGATGCAATTGCAAATCAAACTTTGGACAATAGGAACATAAGGATAACATTCTGAAGCATCGACGACTGTTCAAGGGGCACCGAGTATAAACTTGTTCAATTCTACAATAACTTCTGATTCGTAAAGTACAGATTTATGGAATTTACTCATGTATGCAGATTTTTAAAATCTAATTAGATCAATCAGTTTAATAAATTTATTGCCCTATAAAATCTAAATATCAAAAGTAGAAAAGCCATTTCTCTTTTATTATTCATTATTTCAAATTTAGAGTAGGATTATCATTTTATGAGGTTCAGGGGACTTTATGAAAAAAGGTTATGAATGGTTGAAGTAACGTGAAAAGCGAAATATCTCGAATATAATTGAGCTTCAGATTATGGACAAGAGGGACTTTTTAGTTCAAGTTGAGATGTTGAATAACCTTGGTACTAAATTGAACATAAGAAAAAACGAAACATTTCTAAAAATTATATTATTATTCATAGCGTTTTTCACTAAGATGGACATTTTAAACATTTATCTTTTTTTGAGGAATTCTGCGTTTTCTTATGTTTAATTTTAACTCCAATATATTTACTGGTCTATTGACCAAATTACTTCTTTCAATTAATTAATCTTTTTATGTAAGGTTTTGGTTGAAATGAAAAAGTTAGTGTCACGAGGGGGATTCGAACCCACGGCCTTCGGCTCAATACGCCGCTACAAATGTCACAATAGATCAAGTGGTTAGAGCAGCGGCGTATTGAGCTGAAGGTAGTGGGTTCGAATTCCGCTCGTGACGCTGACTTTTTTATCTCAACCAATACTTTTCACAAAAAATAATTATAAATGTGCGTTTCTTAGTGATCTGTTGCTTCATAATTTGTTGAAGTCGTAAAGAGCGGTCAAGAATGAGGTAGTGTAGAAAAAACCTGTTTCATTTTTTTGCCGACGTTTCGACCGTTATTCGGATCATCTTCAGGACATAAATTGTGTTTGCTATTCTTGGGGTGCCATTAGTTTTGTGTGAAAGTGTTGTGACAAACAATACAACAACACTTTCACACAAAACCAATATGGCACTACAAGAATAGCATACTACTAATACTAACTTGTTCATATAATCAAATTTACTGTTGGCTTAACATTTTATGAAATAAGGGCGTCTTCATTGTGAAAAGGTGAATAACTTGAAAAGCTAAATATTTTGAATACAATTGAGAATCGAACTTTGAACGATAGGGAATTTTAAGTCCAATTTGACATGTACAATCTTCCAAAGTAGTGACAACACCCTGTATATATCGTTTGCTATCTAAATTGACATCACACACAAAGCTATGAATTAATTTATTTGTCAATCAATCGATTATTACATGCATACTTTATTATATGTTGTCCAAGGTACAATTCATTCGTTTTTTATTAAATGTGTTTTAAAATGAATTTTTACAGATTTTTTTTATTAGTTTTCTACTGCGCAGAGTTTAACGATGTTGACAAAGGCTCAGGTCTCATTAGGAGAAAACTAAACAAGTCTGTAACAAGTGAAATGTTTCCATTCTCCCTCCTGCCCCCTCTTCTGTCTGGGAAACGTTGGGAAAAACTGGGAATCTCCCTAGTTCTCTGCGAGTGAGTGAGATTGCGCTCAAGTGGCTCCTATTGATTGTAACCCAATTCTGCTCCCAGTCGGGTGTTAAGTGCCGCTCGCTCTTCCAGCTCAACGGACCTCAGCGTTGCTCAGCATGTTTTGTTTATTTGTAGTTTTCAATTGGGGATGTTAGATTTTCGGCCAAGGCGGAAGATGGTAATTTTTCACAAGCATTTTACGGAGAAAAGGCTCAGGAATCACTTTGACACAAAATCACAACACGTTCTATTTTAAAATCAATTGGAATTTTGAAATTTTGCAGAATATTCGGAACCTCATAAGTTTTTTATTATATTTCTTATATTGCCGGTGGTTGATGCTCTTTTATATTGAAATTATCTTTTAAATTTTACATAAAATACAAGAGATTATAGATACAATAACTAAGTGTGTTCATCTCCAGTCTGGTAATTTAAGTAAGAACCCTTTCAGGTTCAAACAATCTCAATTTAATCTAAAAAATAGTTTAGAAATAAATAAATAACGTTTAAATAAAAAAATTAATTTGTTTATTAAATATTGTTTTAATTCTTGCACTATATAGCTAGAGATATATTTATATATTTTATTGATAATTAATTGCTAAAGCATTTTTTTAAGTTAAATATCAAAAGAAAATCTTAATTTTCATATTTTAAATTTAATTTTAAAATTTTTAATATTTTTATTTTTGTACATTTTTTGTACACGTCAGCTTCAAAGAATATACATAACTCATCGCCAAAACCGGCATGGGAGGGAAAAATACTTGGCTCAAAAATGTTATTAATTTTTTAAAAAAGTCTGGTTTTTATTGATTTTGTAAATAAATAATTCGTCCTTTTTCTTGAGGATCGATAAACACAACGTTTGTTATTATTACACCAGGATGAAAGTGGATTAATGAAGCTTTTAAATTGGGCTTAATGTTTAATTAAAGGTTGAAATGTGAGCTTTTTAATATTTTTTATTTAATTGCTCTCCTAATTTTACTACATGCTAGACAGTAAGATTAATAGGTGACAGTTGAGATATTTATTTTTTGTTTTTAAATACGTCTTGTCAAAATAATACATAATAATGCTAATAATTTTACACAGCAAGATCATAAAATATTCATTACTAGGCAATTTTTCCGTCAATTTCAATCGATAAACACAAATTTTGTTGTCTTACATAAAACATTGAATTTATGTTAGGCTTTGAGCTGAAGAGGAAACATTCTTAGGTATAGAAAGTACACATAGAAAAACAAAAACAACAGAGTAGTTTCAAATAGTAAAATACAAATATACCTCACTATTGATCGATAAGAACTCGGCAATAACAAAGAAAGAAGGATATAATAAATATTGGATTATTTTATTTCAGCATGCAAATTTGGGCTTTTAATTTTATGTAATTTTGAAATTAGTTATATTAGTAAATATTTATTTTTCCCATTTGAAGTCGAAGAAGTTTCTCACTATAGCAATTAAATTTTCATCTATTAGAAACAATCTCTCTGAATGTATTTCCTGTAAGATTTTCTTTGATGAAGTACTGAATTCTTCTTAGGGGTTTGGTACCTTAGGCAAGTAAAGTAAATATTCTTACTGAACGCAATAGGTACATGGAAATCGTTTTATTATCTTCATTTGAATCTAAATACGAGAACTTTGCACGGTCTCAGGGGACGTGAAAAACTTTTGGTAGCCAGAAAATCACGAACTCTTTGCACTTTTTTTCAGTTTTCGCCTATAACTCGTAAATAACTCGTAAAAGTACCACCGACCTCGTGAAAATCCCTTACAATGGAAATTTGGGATTTTGCGTAGGCTACTTAGAATTGATCAAATTTAAAATTTTAGGAGTTCACTGAAAGTAAAATTAAATGCTCTATCACTTTTATATTAAAATTTCTATTTGGAAGAGCCGTTTCGAGGATCTTCACGCGTAAAAAGTCTACTAGTGAAAATTTCTTTCAAGTTGGTAAAATTGCCGCTTTCTGGACAGTCCAATACTCCTATCTTCCTGGTTCGAATTTCGTAATTCAGATACTCATTCGACGCAAAATTGTATCTTCTTTCATTTGGAAAATAAGACAGTTTTGGATAAGATGCGTTGTTTACGAGTTATAGACAAAAAAAATAAAAATTTGCGGAAATTTCGTGGTCTTTTAGCCGCTAAAAGTTGACCATATCTGCTGAAACCGCAAACTCAATATTTCACGTATTTAGTAATTTTGGTGTATAGTTTTACTGGCCTGTCTAGATCTGTATTGCGCAGGATGCTTTTCCTAGTTACGATACCCTTTACCTAGCTATTAATGGGCAGTTGCATAGTATTAGTTCTGTTGTCTCTGTCTCTTCTAGACCACGTCGACGCTGGAATTTATTATATTAATTATTAATAAATCACCTTGCATCAAGTGGCCTGACATGTTTTCTTTACTACTGATTTATAGATTTAAAATTCATTTTTGACCAAATCGATCATTTTTTTCACCCCTGTCCATTAAAATCAAAAAATTTAAGAAAACTGTCAGATAACCCTTCAAAATTAAATTACTGGCACTCAAAGATCGAATAAAATTGCTCAAAAAGTATTTATAATATTATTATCTTCATACATGTCAACTGTGTCGAATGAGTCAGAACAACGTCCGGCCAGAATGGAAAAAATGCGACATTTGAGAACGGGTCGTAAATTGAATTTTGAATTGGTTTCGGTCCGAAATAGAATTGACTAGAGGCTAACCGTGTCACGGGACCGATAAATCTTCGCAGACCGACATTAAGAAGGTAGATAGCCGACCTCTCACCACCTTATCCATTAATCAATATATCAATAATGATCCTACTTACACCAGTACTTCCCACTTTCCCATTGATGCATTGACGGCTGACCCAATTGTTTTCCATTAAAAGCACAAGCAGCTCAAAATAAAAAAAATAAAAAATCCGACACTTACAGTCTGCTTTGCAAGCGAACTTGTGATAAATAGTTCTGTCGAGACAATAACTATAAATTAGTTTTATAATGAAAAACTAGATATAAATAGTAAATTAATTTTAAAAAACGCTGATTGATTTTCTTTGTTCGTTCTGTTTTTCTTGAAACGTTCTATAACCTCATTCCCTCAATAAATAATTATCCATATAAAGTAACATCAAACCTCAACGATAAATTATATCAAGAGATATAATATATATTAACAGAACAAAAGTCCTTTGTTTATTAGAACTTTTTCCAGAAACATTACTCTCTCTGCCTTTAATGACTCTTTCCAAATTTTTCGGCACACTCATAAAATGTTTTTTCATATATCCTCAGGTATGTTGTCCCTTTCTTCCACTACAGTCGCCTTCAAGGGAGTAGGTGGTAGATACAACCTTTCTTTTGAGATAATCCCAACGTGTTAGATTGTGTTAAGGTCCGGATTTCTTGATGACCAATAAGAGTGTAAAGTCTATGGTTTGCTGAAACATAGAATCATGGCCGAGCATAATCATGACTCAGAACCAAAGAAAGCCATAATAGGCATATAGTCAGGATCATCTCGACATATTCTAAGATAGAACTCGGTCAGTCAGAACATCATAGCTCCTCCTACTGTTTCTACGTGCATTACTAGATGTAGTGTTCTTCAGGTATTCTCCAGTCACATCCATATATATCTGAACTATTAAAGTCCACCTTTTTTATTCGGTGAGCAGGACCTATATAGTCCACATGTGGAAAATCTTGCCTCTCTATGTTGGTCCGTGTTTCATGGACCTTCTTGATCTAAGGTTTAACTCTCTGTCTTCTTAACAGATAGATTGATATTCCCGATACCAGCGATCGAGGTTGTAATGCCAGAAGATTGAATTGCTCTTCCGGATTGCTTTTTTTAATAAAACAGTCGTCAATGGCATTGGTGATTCAGGGACGCCCTGGATTTGGTTACCCCGAGTGATTTCCAGTCTCCCTGTACCTTTCAATGGTACTTGACATCGTCAAATAATGAAAGCACGGTGATTAACAATGAACCGCAATGATTCTGATCGATTCATCACAAAATTAACAGAGTAAATAAAAAAGAAATAAATTGCTACCTCTGAAAGAAATTTCGAAATGAAAAACTCTGATTCTTCGTTTGTTAGTAAATATTGATTATCAATTCATACTATCAGTCTCCAATGTCTCTCAAGTAGTATTACTATAAATTTTAAAAAACGTAGGTTAAAGTCAAAAACTAAAAAATATCGAGGTGGTGTTTCTATATTTTTTACTGGGAGTACAAATCAAGAATTCAGTTCAGAAGTTATTTAAAAAAATTGTATTAGAGATTTTTCGCTTTTCAGATCATTTCAATATTTCACAGCTTTGTTCCATACAATCCCCTGAGTCTTTTAAAATGTTAATTCTACAATAAATTTTATTGCACTAATGGAAAGAGCATTGGAAACCCTATGAGATTCATTTTTTTTACCTTAAGCAAACAAAATAAAAAATCAATTAGAAAGTAAAGCTACATAATATATCTTATATAATATATATTATTATTACTACAAAGTTCTGTCTATATTTATCTATTTCATCTATCTGTCAGTATTTACAGAACCGATAAAATCTTTTAGATACTATAGACAAGAACTTTGAAAACTCCTGAAGGATTATCTTCCAAGTGATTTTGTATTTTGTTTGTTTAAGGATGCAATAAACATAATTATCGTAGGGGTTTCTATGCTTTTTTCAATTTTTATTCAAATTTACTGTAGGATTAATTTTAAGGGATACTAAAAATAAGTAAATTATTTCAAGTACAATTCAGAATTAGACTTTCAAAGTCCAATTTGACGCGTAGAATAACCTCATGAAGTATTGTCCAGTCAGATTCTTAATTTTATTTGGTATATTTCACTTTAATCTTTCACAATTTAAAAAAAAAGACTAAGTATCTGAGTTAACCAGATTGTAAATTAGATTATACCAATGGACACCAATGGAAAGGGAATTGAATTTCATTTTATTTGTCAACGTTTACCTGTTGGGATTATTACATTTGTTGTTCGTTTGTTAATCTTTCTTAACATGTAATATATATTTAGCAAATTATCTACTTTGATAAATGGTTCTGTCCCCAATAAATGGAGCGAATGGGACCAGAGCTTCTGGAAGAACTTTCTTAGGTACATTTACGTTTTTGTAGT